TTAAACATCAAATATTTTTCACACAACTGGTGTAATGTTCCTGATAAGCACATACAGGCTTATCTAGTATCAAAGACAAACCATTGTTAGGAGATTGAGTCTTGGGATGTCCTCCCTTGACCTCCCTACCCTCTAATGAGGCCTGCCCTGGCTTGACCAGGAAATTGTGCAGTACCTAGGAGACACTGAATGCATGCCTTAATAATAGAGTATGTCTGTTAATAGTATTGGTGGTGTCCATGTAAACAATGGCAACCACTTCTCACACACATGTCAGGCACTTTATGAACCACTCTCATTTAATTCTTTAATGACCTTAAAGAATTAAGTCATTTGCTAACCATAAAGAATTTAGTGACCTTAAATCAGTAAAGAAACCGACTCTGGAAAGTGAAGTTACATCCCAAAGGATATGCATCCGAAAGGATGCCCAGACTGGTACATCTCTGGTTCCTAAACTCTTCCACTACACAGAATTCTTCAGTGTCACTGGTGAGTGAGAGACAGTGTGGTGACTGGGATAAATATGTCAGGGACCTTTCCACTACACTTCCTTCCTTCTCAGATGGTCAGCCCAAAGGCTGCCTTTTAACAAGGGAATGATGGGAGCCCCGCAACCTCTCTTACAAACAACTCACCTCAAATGCATTTTCTATTTTACAGGGTCATGTTTAGAATTTACAAAGAACTGGATGGCTATAAGAAAGAGGCAGGAGAGTTACAAAAATTATATTTTTCTGCATTTGTGAAATTTTTTGAGACAGGGTCTGTATGGAGTCCAGGCTGGCCTCAAACTCATGATCCTCCTGCCTCAGCCTCCTGAGTGCTGGGATTACAGGTTTGTACTACCACTCCTGGTTTTGGGGCGATTTTGGGTTTTTTTTTGGTTTTTAGTGAATATTCCTGTGGTCTCAGGAATAATACCTTCAAGGAAAACCATAAAACACCCTTCTCTGCCACACAATGTGAATGTTATCTTGGTATAGGGCAGTAGGGAGGAGCAAAACCAGAGCATGAAACACAGTCCTGGTGAAACACTTGCTAGCTGCATGTGACTGCACACAAGTTTAGTACCTGGATATAGTGATAAAGTCTAACTCCAGTTTTACTTGTGTAAAACAGACAATGTACGTGAAGTTATTTGGTCACAAGAGGGGTTCAGAAGATGTTATCATTGTCTATTTAATGCTGTTGCCTTAATTTCAACATATTGCATGTTAAGCCAGCTAAGATTTTATTGAATTCATTTAAAATTTGATAATATGGTGCTCTTTGGTGAAGATTATGGCCTTTTTAACAGAGGCAGTTGAAAAAAAATCCCACTAAGCAGGATTAAACTAATAAACAGCCCATTTTATCCAAAATAACCAACTTTCACCCTGTGAAATGTGAAGGGGGCAGAAAACCTCTTTGATGGTAGTAGTGGGATATTGGTGGCATGTTAGCACACTGTGTAGACTATAACCTCTATTTACTCCTCCACAATTCATCTCTTTGCTCATTTAAAAAGCCCTTAAGGACGGGCGTTGGTGGCTAACACCTGTAATTCCAGCTACTCAGGAGGGAAAGATCAGGAGGATCACGGTTCTAGGCCAGCCTGGACAAATAGTTCCCAAGACCCTATCTTGAAAAAACCCAACACAAAAAAAGAATTGATGGAGTGGTGCAAGTGGTAAAGTGCCTGCCTAGGAAGCGTGAGGCCCTGAGTTCAAACTCCAGTACCACCAAAAAAGAAAAACCCTTAAGGAACACCCTTTATATTCAGGAATCTGAGTTTAGTACTTGAGATTGCTAACAGTACCTGAACACAGTATAACCACATAAGAGGAAAAGATGCTGGAAGTAGCAAAAAAGTATTGGCTGACTCAGGAAAGCTGTCACAATGTGGAAATTCTTGCTAGGATAGTCTCAGCCACTAACAACAAAAGATAAACAACTCTATGAAGGTTCTGGTGCCAGGTCAGGTATCCAATTCAACCCAAGAAGGTTTAAGTCACCCAGATAAAGAGCGAAGGGTTTTAATTTTCAGTGATATGTAAGATCAGCAGTAGGGCAAATCGTAATTAAGGAAGAGTTAAGCCTTTGTGAGAAAGGTATCAAAATGTACCTTAGTATTAATGTCTTTAAACGAAATGTTTTCTTTATCAGTCAATATTTCATTTTTTATAAAGAATATATATTTTATATATTCATATATGTTTATAAATGTTTGTTTATGTATAAGTCTGCATTTAGGTATAACCCTCACCTATACAAATCTATGCATCATATCTGGACAGTTTGAAGAGTTATCCTAACTTCATGCCACACAAGTGCCACTCACACCAGGAAATAGGCCCTAACGGCCCTCCTGGAAGTCCCCTATGTCCCATCCTTATTGCTCCCTCCACCTCGTCCCCAGAGCTAATAACCATTATGCTGCCTTCTAACACCAGAAGGCAGAACATTTGCGTTTTTGAACCTTTATATACATCATACACAATGTAGTCTTTTGTGCTGACACGTGCTATCATGTCTCTCAAAGCACCAGTCTCATACTCTTCTGATTAAGGGTAAATTGGTGAATAACTTTGGAAAACTGAATGGCACTATCTACTAAAAACTACTTGTTGACTTTTTGGACATGATTTTAAATGGAATGCTTATTTAATATATTAGAAAAAAGATTCTTTTTTTTTTGTGGTACTGGGGCTTGAACTCAAGGCCCACACTTTGAGCCACTCCACCAGCCCTCTTTTTGTTGGGAATTTTTGAGATAGGGTCTCACGATCTATTTGCATGGGCTGTCTTCGACCCACTATCCTCCTGATCTCTGCCTCCTGAGTAGCTAGGATTACAGGCACAAATCACTAGCACCTGGCTGTTTCTTATTTTTTGAAAGGCTGCCACATAAAGTAGGAAGAGGAACATTAATAAAGATAAAAAGTTACAATTAGTGAAATAGGAAAACAAATCAGAGAAAATATAAAACAAAAAGCTGGTCTTGCAAACTTCATTGCCCAGGCTGGCCTCAAACAGCTGTCCTGAACTCTTAGGATTATAGGCATGAGCCACAGTCCCCAGGTTTAAATGCATTTTTAATTTGTAATATTCTCAACTCATTATTGCAATGTAACCCCATCATAAATCAAGGGCCATTTGTATTGGAATGATACAGATTAGCAAATTCAGTAGTGGATTCACACACATATGGATACTTGATTTGTGACAATGACGGCACTAGAGAGAAGTGGAGCAAAGGCAATGTTTTCAATGAATGATTTTGAGTCTACTGGACAGTCACATGGAAAAATTGAATCTTGTTGAGAAGGTGAATATCACCGATGTATTCTCTATACAAGAATAAATACAAATTTTTTAAACCTGTTGAAACCACCATAAGAAAGGGACTAAGATAGAAAGGAGAAAAATAGAGGGGATGAACCAATTCAGGTTATAATACATATACACATGGAAATGTCACAGGGAAACTCTCTGTGTAAGCTATCTTAAAGAAACAGAAATGTCATTTTTTTTCTTTTATAAAATTGGAAAACACTAGGGTGGAACAGGTCCTGCCTGGGGCTGGGAGGGAGGCTGATACCAGTGGAGGGGAGAAAGGTGGGGAAAGGTCATGGGGGGGTGAATGCTGCAAATACTGTGTACACATATTTGAAGATGGAAAAATGAGACCTGTTAAAACTATTCCATGAGTGGGGGGGGGAGGGGACAAAGGAGAATGGTGGGAGAGGTGAATTCAAGTATGATATATTTGATGTGTTATAAGAACTTTTGTAAATGCCACAATGTACCTCCACCCAGCACAACAATTTTAAAAAAAGAAAAATTGAGTCTTGATGTTTATCACAGATCATAAAATTATTTCCAGATTATAAACGTGAAAAGTAAAAACAACAAAACTTCCACAGGATAACCTATAAGAAAATCTTCAGTGACCTTGGGATAGGCAAAAACTTCTTAAACAGATTACAAAAAACTCCAAGTATAAAGGAAAAGATTGGGAGATTATTAAAATTAAGAACTTTTGTTCATTGAAAAATATTATTAGGTGAATCTAAAAACAAGGCATAGAAGAGATTTTGTAATATACAGCCAATTTGCAACCTGAATATATGAAGAATTCCTACAACTCAGAACAAAAAAGAGATACCCAATTAAAAAATGGACAAATGACAAAATGTATATTTTTATGATATAGAAAGTGGGAAAGGTTGCTAATGCCTTTTCTAAGCAAACATACATATAACAAGTTTTCTTATTTTAGGCCTTGTGACCACTACTGGAGGCCACACACCCACACTGGAGGAACATGATAGAGACAAAGAGCTTCTAGAACTATTTAAAGTTATGACATGATATCTTTGGTCGCAGACTAAGTTAAAATAAATGTGTTCTTCCAAGTCAGGGGGATTTATGGGAAACAGAGCAAACAATTTGCTTCAGAGAAGACAGCTGCTGGTCTGATTCATTCAGTGTCATAATTAAAGTAGCATCTATAATAAATATTTCAGAGAAATGGCCACACAGAAGAGGAAAGGGAACACTTCCTACAACTGATGGAGACTAACCATCCATGCTCCACTGGCCTGTTTCCCTTTACCTCAGACTGCTGTGTAAAAAGAGGACATTTAACACTTCAGCAGAAGCTTTGTTGGAAGGAGATATCTACTCAGGTTAACCATTGACAGTGTGGCTCAGTCACGCCCTTTTCCTGTATCCCAGAATGACATTTCAGCAATAGGTAGACTACTGATGAATGAGACTTCTCACTGGGGACTGTCAACTGACTGTGGGTTGGCCACTATTTCTCCACTTTAAAAATGAGGAAACAGAGGCCGGAGGAGTTAAATATTTAAGATGAAGAGAACATAATAAGTAGAAGACAAGGGTTCTAACTGTGAAGTTTTCTGGGACCAAGCCCTTTCCATGTTGAGAGATCAGAGGTTTAATGGTGAAATGGTAAAAGGTGAATGGATTGTGGTAAGATCAAAATCACGTACCTGAAATACCAAAACCAATGATAAGCACAATTGCTCCAGCCAGAATAATGGTGATGTTAATAACGCTATGGAAAGAGACAGAGAAACAGGCAATTACTTCTTCATTCCATTTCACATGCTGTTTTGCGACCTGGTACATGTCTGTCATGGATATGATGTGCTACTAAGTCATGTATGTCAACCTTTTCTTCCAGATAGAAAGGAATCTCAGCAACCCCAGCCTCCCCACTCCAGCACTCCCCTGCCCCAGCCCAGGGATGGGTTAAAGGAGAGACCCTTTTATCTGACACTGTTATCTTCATTTCCTGTTTCCAGCTCAGAGAGGACCATGTGCAAAGACTGTTGAGGTAAGACTGACAGTAACCTCTCAGTGATGCCAGGAGCCACCGGGCGGAACTGGCCTCATGCTCAGCCTACCCTGAACGTTACTGCCCTGTCTCTTCTATGATTTGTGTGTCTTGTCTCTTTCTGTAGACGATGAACTCCACTAGGGGAATGGTCCTGTCTTCTCTACTTTGTACCCACTTGTACCTCGTCCATTGCACCCCCATCTATTGTTAGTGGGGTTTGCTCTCTCTCTTATTTAAGAAGCAGTCTGGGGTATAACCCAATGATAGGATGCTTGCTTAGCATGCACCAAGGCCTGGGCATGAACCCCAGCATTGCAGGAAAAGAAAGACTAGCATTTTTCACGATAGAAAGCTAAGAAAATGTAAATAAAACTAGGACAGTAAAAATCACCTGTAATTTCATCTCAGACACAACCACTGTTAACTTTTTGTTATGTATCCTAGCAGTTTTGGTTTTTCATTTTTTTGTGATACTAGGGTTTGAACTCAGGGCCTACACCTTAACCCACTACAACTGTCCTTTTTTCGTGAAGGGTTTTTTTTTGAGATAGGATCTTGCAAGCTATTTGCCAAGACTGGCTTCGAACCTGATTTCTGTGTCCTGAGTAGCTAGGATTACAGGTGTGAGCCACAGATGTCCATTTTTTTTTTCTGACAGTTTTTAATGAACAGATTAATAAGTTACACTTGAGACATCTACTGAGTGCTTGAGTCATATGGTAGACATGTTGTCCCAAGCGTCACCTATACCATTCATCCATTCAATAACCTTTTGAGGTAAACAAATTTATAACCTCCATCTAATAGAGGGGGAAGTGACAGAGAGACATCTTCCCTAAAGCCGCACAGTTAGCAAGTGACAGAGCTGAGATTAGAATCTGTCTCCCAAATCTGCACTCAACAACACCCTACACTGACCCTGAGGGTAGGACTCACAGATGGGTGTGTTCCTCTTCTCTGCCTGAGGGAAACCAGTGCTCCAGATGGGGACAAGATCAAGCTTGTGGGGGTGACTTAGGCAGAGCAGAAGGCTCAGGTCACAGGGTGTGTTGGAAGAGCCATTCCTGGGAAGCTCACCCACTGCTGCCTGCCTGTGGCATGTGTCATCAGGAAGGTGTCCTGGGCCAGCCGCTCTATGCTGCTGGGCAGTTTCCACACTCCCAAAACCCACGCTGAAGTTACTCAACAGGCAAGACAAAGGAAGGCACAGGGAGACAAAGAATGATGCTACAGAGAGAAAAAGGAAGCGTGGGGCATTTTACTTTCTTCCCTGAATAGGCTCGTTGTACCCACCTCCCCTTGGCTGGAGGATGGGCCCTCCAGAGAGAAACAGCAGACTATCAAGAAAAACCTTGCATAAACAGTTCTCCTGGAGAAATGACCCAAACAATGTATGCACATATGAATAAAATAAAAATTTTTAAAAAATAAAAAAACAAAACAAACAAACAAAAACCAGTTCTTCTGGAGGTCAAGCCCTCATGAGGACAGCCACAGGCCAGCAAGCAAAGCTCTTCATAATAGGCCATGTGTTAAATTGCTTCCAAAAGGTGAGCACATTTGAACACTTCCCCTTTGTTTCCATCTCGGTGCAATCTCACAACTTACTGGCCCAGGTGCATGAGGACGGCTAGACAAACTCATGGCACCAGGCAATGTGTGGCTCTCCTTGACTGCTGAGACAGACAGACAGCTGACTTGCATGTGTGACACAGAAATTTCACTTACTTTGGGTAAATTACTTCCTCTCTCTGAGACTGGGCTCTTTATCCATAAAGTGTGGAGAGGAGGAATTCCTGCTTTATCTACTAGAAAAGTGTTATGGTGGCATGTACTCACCACTGCCCATTCTTATGTTGAAGTCCTCACCCCTCGAATCACAGTGAGTGACTTTACTTGTAAATAGGGTCATTGCACATATAATTAGGTAAGATGAGGCAAAAGTGGAGTAGAGTAGAATAGGTCCCTAAACTGATAAGATGGTGTCCTTATAAAAAGGGGGTAACTTACCTGAGCATCATGGTGTCCTCCTGTAATCCTAGCTATTTAAAAGGCTGAGGCAGAAGGATCTCTTTTGTCTGGGTGTTCAAGGACAGTGTGGTCAATGTAGTGAGACTGTCTCAAAAAAACCAAAAGGTGGGAGGAATTTGGACACAGACACACGTGCATACAGGGAGAACACCAGGAGAAGATGAAAGCAGAGATCTAGAAGCAAGGGAGAACTAAAGATTACCAGCAAGTCACCAACCAGATGCTGCAGAGAAGGATAGGGCAGATCTGCTCACACAATTTTTGGAAGGGAAGTAATCCCACAGACAATACACATCTGTTGCTTAAGCCTCCCAGTTTGTATCACTTTGTTTTGACTTCCCTTGCAAACTAATACAAAAGGATTATTTAGAACTCAAATTAAACAACATTATATAATCCATAAAGGGCTAACCATGTGCCATTTTCACTGTAAGTAATTTTTACCTGTAGCTATTTACTGTAACTTCATTATTAAAATTTTATTTTATTCTTTTTTTTTTGGTGGCATTGGGGTTTGAACTCAGGGCATCATGCTTGCTGGACAGACAGGTACTCTACCATTTGAGCTATTCTGCCAGCCCTGTTTTTTGTGTTGGGTACTTTCAAGATAGGGTCTTGTGAGCTACTTGCCCAGGCTGGCTTCGAACCATGATCCTCCTGATCTCTGCCTCCTGAGTAGCTAGGATTACAGGCGTGACCCACCAGCACCCGGCTTATTTTATTCCTTCTTAATGTTTTAGAAGGGTGCTGGACAGCAGGAATTGAATAGATTCCTGGACACCCACCAAAAGAAAGAGGACAATGGAGGTTGTGTGTTGCAAAACAGTTGACACCAGGCCCACACATTCCCTTTGCCATCAACACAGAACCTTGCCCTGTGTCAGCAAGTATCTAAACAGGAGTCACCTGGAGATTTGCTCTTGAACTTGTATTCTGTTGGGAAACATTTCAGCCTCCAGAGTCTTGGAAAGAGACTCAGGAATTGTCAGAGCAGCCAAATTAAAAATTCCAATCTGTTACTTATTAATTTTTTAAAAATATGAACAAAATATTTAATATAAGGTGTTCTTATATTGCTTTCTGGCTCTTACTTTCCCAGAATAATTTCTGGGAAATAACTGTGCTTTAGGAAATTTTTAATGCAAAACTACATCTCTTAAACTAATGCATTGGAACTAACAGTGCACTTTTGGGAGATACACCTTACAAAAGGGCCTCTGCACACTCTGCCTGAGAAAGAAACACAAAGAAGAGGTGTTATTTCTGCCACATTGGGCAGTGTCAGAACAGGGAAACACACTTTGGTGCCCTGAACTGGGAAGTGTTTGTAGAGGCTGTAGAACTCAAAGCCTCCCAGGTGAGGAGCCAGTTTTGCAGCTGCAATTCTGCCAAACACAGCCCTCTGCCCAAGGATGATCTTGTTCAGTTCCTTTTTGTGCCTTTGCATACACTGCCAGTGCCACTGCCTTCTGCCGCCACACAAGAAAGGGAACAGGGCTTATGGAGAAAAAAATAGAGTGACCACTCAAAAAGTAGGCAATTTTGTAATTGGGCCACCAATAGTCAATAATTGGTGCTGTGGTAGGCAACGTAGAAGTCAAGACAGGCAGCTAGTAAGACCAGAAGCTGCACTGAAAAATATTAAAAACACACAACTTAATAAGATGGACACTCTGACTTTGGGTGTTGTGTAGAGTTGCCATGAAGGTGGGCACAGAGGAAGTGCTGCCTGAGACATGCAAAGCCAGATGTGCTTCTCTGGAGAGGGAGCCCCAACTGCAGATGTTCATTTAAAATTAAAAAAAAAAAAAACTTAGAGCCACGCTAAGCATTTTCCACTAAAGGTCTTCTTCTCTGCTCTTGCAGCTCCTCTTGCCTTGGAAAAACTCTTCACGAACTAACACAGACTCCTACATTATACTGTCATCATTCCCCTAGCTTCTGATTACAAATGAGCTAAGTGATGTTCTGGAAACACACTTTACAAAAGACAGACTGTACCCTGCATCAAGATGGAGACACTGATCTCTTAAGGACAAACATTTCATTGTATCAGAGTTAGAAAATAATAACTGGATGTAGTGGTGCATGACTGTAATCCTAGCTACTTGGGAGGCAGAGGCAGGAGGATCAGAAGTCTGAGGCCACCCTACAGAAAGGTAGTAGGAGACTTTGCCTCAAAAACAAAAGGGCTAGGGGTGTAGTTCAAGTGGTAGAGAACTTGCCTAGCATTTGCAACACCCTGGGTTAAACCCCACAGTACTAGCAAACAAACAATCAACAGCAAATCCTACCCTCTCCTCCTTTTTTTGCAAGGTATATAGCTCAGGCTAGCCTAGAACTCATGATCTTCCTGCCTCAGCTTTCCAAGAACTGGGATTACAGACACTCTCCACCATACCTGGCTTATGATCATCCCATTTATTGGGCATGTTCTGTGTATCAGTGCTCTACATACAGTATCTTGTTCAATCTTCACAAAAACTCTCCAAGGTAAATAGTACTATTACTATCTCCTCCGTGTGAGGAAACTGTGGCTTAGCTTAAGTAACAGCTGAAGCTCTCTCAGCCATGGGAGAGTTAGGTTTGAAGCCTAGGGAGTCTGACTTAGGGGCCTTGCATTCTTAACTCCGTGTGGGAAGTCTAGAAAAAGCCCCAGATGGCAGGTGGCCAGATGT